TCTATCTCTCTCCCTTCCTCTCTGTACAAAATCAATAAAATATATATTTTTTTAAAAAATAAAATAAATCAATGGCAGCTCCCATCAGACCAGCAATGGTGGAGTCACCCCGACTTCCCTCTTCCCCTCAGACCACGTGCTCACTCTCTCTGCAAAGCCCATTGGCTCTGTCTCCCTGGAGACCTAAATCCCACAGCTTCTGGCCCCTGTCCTCTGAGGCTGCCGCATTGCTGTTGTCTGTCGCCCCCTGCTGGAAGATGAGCTGAGGGCCAGGATCCGTCTGTCTGTTTACTGAAATATGGCAGAAGTCTACAACCGGTTTGGCTCAGTGGACAGAGCGCCTGACACAAGAGAGGGTCCTCGAGAAATACCGGATGAATGAGTCAAGAGCCTCTCCAGGGCTCCCTCATTCCACCCTGCGCCCCCCCTCCCCTCAGTGTATCTGCACACGGCAGTCAGAAGGATCCTGTACAAGTACGTCAGGCCACCCATCCCTCCTCTGCTCAGAGCCCACCCCGGGCCCGTCTCATGCTGAATTCAAGTCCGCTTCACGGCCCCCAGGACCCTGCACAATCGCCTCGTTTCCTTTCAGACGCCACCTCCCACTCTCCCCGCAGCTCACTCGGCTCCGGCCACTTGCCTCCTCTCTGCTCCGTAAACCCTCCAGGCTCAGTCCCTGCCTCAGGATTTTTGCACAAGCTGCTCCCTCTGCCCCAGATGGCGTGTGGCGTCCTCCCTCCCCTCCTTCGGGCCTTTGTTCAAATGTCACAGTCTCAGTGCGGCCTGCTTAAAAGTGCAACCCCTAACCGGTTTGGCTCAGTGCATAGAGCCAAGGGCCCCAGATTCGATTCCAGTCAGGGGCATGTACCTTGGTTGCAGGCACATCCCCAGGAGGAGGTATGCAGGAGGCAGCTGATTGATGTTTCTCTCTCATCGATGCTTCTAACTCTCTATTCCTCTCCCTTCCTCTCTATAAAAAATCAATAAAATAGCCGAAACCAGTTTGGCTCAATGGATAGAGCGTCGGCTTGGGGACTGAAAAGTCCCGGGTTCGATTCCGGTCAAGGGCATGTACATTGGGTACGGGCATATCCCCTGTAGGGGGTGTGCAAGAGGCAGCTGATGGATGACTCTCTCAACTCTCTATCTCTCTCCCTTCCTCTCTGTACAAAATCAATAAAATATATTAAAAAAATAAAATAAAATAAATAAATAAAAAATCAATAAAATATATTTTAACGAAAAAAAAAGAAAGAACTTTAAAAAAATAAAAAATAAAAGAATGACAAAGCCCTGACTGGTTTGGCTCAGTGAATAGAGCATCGGCCTGTGGACTGAAGGGTCCCAGGTTCGATTCCGGTCAAGGGCATGTACCTTGGTTGCAGGCACATCCCCAGTGGGGGGTGTGCAGGAGGCAGCTGATCGATGTTTCTCTCTAATCGATGTTTCTAACTCTCTATTCCTCTCCTTTCCTCTCTGTAAAAAAAAAAAAAAATCAATAAAATATATTTTTTAATTGGAAAAAAATAAAAGAATGACAGAGGGCACTCATGAACTGTCACAAACATGTCTGAGGTCAGTGCTGTCGTTACCCTCCAACACACACAATTACAGGGACCCAGGCCCAGAGAGGGGAAGCGGCTGCCAAGGCAGCACAGAGCGCTCAGAGGGGAAGCCAGGGTCCAAGCCAGGCCGGGAAGGTGCCCAGGTGGACTGCCCTTGCCCAGGGGGGCAGAGCCTGGGCCTCCCTGACTCCCGCTGCCCCTGCCGTGCGGGGCCATCGGGCCTGTGTCTCAGACAGGGACCGCCCAGCACAGGGCATGGCCTCGGGAAGTGCTGGCTGAACGAAACCCTCCTTTTCCTCGGCCACCTTTCTCCTCTGAATCCTCTGAGACTCCACAGAGGCTCAAGGCCTCCAGGCTGCCCTCTGCCCCCTCGGGGTTCCCCCAGCGCCTTATGCTCCTTCTGTTACCGCATATGCGCACCCCAAGCTGGGAGTGCTTCAGGCTGTGAGCGCCCCCAAAATAGGGCCAGGGTCTGGCTCAAGTCGGGGTCCCCAGCACAGTGCCAGTTTAGACTGCTCTGGAGGGTCACTGACCCGTGAGTCTTCCCCGAGCCTCAGCTCCTCAGCCTGGGTGCAGAGGTCCTGTCCTTGTCCCAGTGAACGGAACGTTCACTGGTTCCCTCTGGCACAGAGCAGTGGCTGAAGGTCTGGAGAGAGGGAAGAGCATTGCCAGGAGGTAAGGCTGCGAGTGGGGAAGGAATCTCTCTGCGAGATGGGGGGAGAGGGGGCAAGGAGACGGAGGAGGAGACTGAGACATGGCAACAACAGATTCTTGGAGCAGGCGGGGCTGTTAATGAGTCGTCATGTAAATATCTGTGTTTTCCGATGGTCTTAGCTTCTCAACCTGTGGGTTGCGAGCCTAAGACCATCGGAAAACACAGATATATATGCATTAGGATTTATAACAGTAGCAACATCACAGTCATGAAGTAGCCACGAAAATAATGTCATGGCTGGGGGCCACCGCAGCAGGAGGAACTGTATTAAAGGGTCGCGGCGTTAGGAAGGTTGAGAACCGCTGCCCTACAGGATCTGCTTCCCCACCTCGTCCCCACCCTCACCTGTCCCCTTCCCGCCTCAGGGCCTTGGCACTCCGTGGTCCCTCTGCCCGGGTTTCCCTTTACATAGCTGACTTCCCTCCAGGGTCACTCCCCCCGGGGGCCACTCCTGACCACTCCAGCCACCCGGGCTACCCGGCTCTCTCCCCTTCGGACCTGCCTTACCGTTACTGCTACTGCCTGGCCCGCTGACTGTCCTGCCCCGGGGCAGGAGCCCCCCCTCACTGGCCCGTGCGGCAGCCCCTGCTTCTGTAACCCTGCCCGGCGCCGAGTGCTCAGAATTTGGTCCATAAAGTAACACCACGCCCGCACGTGCGCACTTCAGTCCTCCAAGGCCACCGGGACCCGGTGCCCCAAGGAGCCTCCAGGGTGCATGCTCATCTCGCCCCGGGCCGGGTGCCCATCGCTGGGCCCCCAGGGACGCGCCAAGCTCCCCCCGCTCTCCCCCCGTCATCACCCCGCGCGCCCCGGCCCCTCTTCCGGGCGCCCCGAGCCCAGGGGGGTCCCTCCCGCCGCCACGCCCTGGCGACCCCTCACGACCCTCTCTCAGGCCTATGTGCCGGCTCCCCAAGCCCCGTTCCCTGCCCGGCGGGGTCCCCGGCAATCCCCCTCGTCCCCTTTGACTCACCCGCTTCAAACAGCGTTTCCCGCCACGGACCGCGCCACCGTGACCCCTGACTCCCGCGCGCGCAGGCCCAGAGCCGCGGCGCGCCGGGCCGGCCACGCCCTTCCCGCCCAAATAGGGTTAGACCACGCCCACCGTGTCACCTGACCACGCCCCGTTCTTCCAAACCGGGGAGGCCACGCCCTCTCCTCCAATGGCAGGCAAATTCCCGCGAAAACCCGCCCCCTGTTGGCTTATAAGGCCCGAAGCCACGCCCCTCCTTGCGGAAGCGTCGCGGCCAAGTGAAGGCTGCGCGCGCAGCCACCCTGGGGCGCCACGCCCCCCACCAGCCCTCGGGCGCTGCGCGCGCAGCCTCCGCATCCCCTCCCGCCTGCTGCCCGGGCACCAGCTGAGCACTGGCCTTGCTTGCACCGGCAGCCTGACTTCCGCCCTCCCTGCAGGAGCTGGGCTCAGGTCCCGGCCTGATCTGTGGTCTCACGGCCTCTAGTGTCCCCATCTGTAAAGTAGACCTAGCGTGGGGCGGGCACTCCAGCGGGGCGCCCAGCTCACCTTTTGTAACTACTCTCATCACTGCAGGCCTCTCTGCCCCGTCCTACAAACAACATAACCTTTCAGTACCCAGCCAGCCCATCTCTCTAAGCAAAACCCCCTTCACCCTCCACCAGGGCTGTCCATCCGGCTAAGGGAACTTCTCCGTGCCCCTCCCTGTTCTGAATTCACCAGGGCCTCCCGCCTCCCACACCTGGCACGTGCCCTACATCGTGGGAGCCCAGGCTCCTTGTTGTCAAGGTTTAGGTCCCAGCTAGGACGGGATCTTGGTGAAGCCTCGCCTTTCTCCTCCAGCACCCCCCTCCCGCCTGCTGCCCCCATTCCCTTACATCCTAGCTGACCCCATTCACTCTCCCACTGCCACCTCTCAGGAGGGACTCTGTCTTTTAGCTGGTTTCCATGCCTAAAGTCGTGTTTGGCACCGAGGAAATGCTCCGTACGGACTAGAATGAATGACATGTTCCCAGAATGGACACAGGTAGCTTCGGCAAGTATTTGTCGACTGTGTGAATGTCCCAGTTCCATCATCCATGTAAATTGTCTTCCATGAGCTGGCTCCAACTGGCCTTATACAGGAGGGTGACCCCGAGGCCATCAGGGGCCTCTCCTGAACCCACCAGTGCCTGATCGCTGCGAACACCCCCCCCACACCCCTACCCGCATAGCAGCCTCCTTAAAGGGCCAGTGTGTAGCAAGACCCGGGCGGCCCAGGCCCAGCCCCAGCCCCACTCACACTCACTCTGGCTCAGGGCAGGTTTCTATTCATATTTTATTTTCCCATTTTTTTTGTGTGTGCGGTTTTTCTTTTCATTTTTTATTAAATAAAAGCAGAAGGAGAGGGGACCTGTGGTCTCTCGGGCTGTGGGAGAGCCACGGGCCTCCCCTCCCTCCGTTCAAGGTGCACTGCGCAGTGGGCTTGAGTATAAGCTGGGCGGGGAGAGCAGCTGGAAGTGCCTGGAGAGGTCAGAGGTCAGGGCCTGCGACCCGTCCACACCTTCCCAGGAAGACTCAGTGGGCAGGGAGGGAGCCTCCTGGACCCTGACCGGGGCTTCTCCTGAGGGCTAAGGGCTTCTCCAGGGCTTGTGGTCCAGGCCACAAGGTGGGCCCCGGGGCTCTGCTCCCCTCACCACCCAGGAGGAGGCGGCGGCGTGGCCACGTCCGGCCGTCGGAGGGCCCGGGGGCTGCGGGCGGGGCTGCTGGACCCTCACTCGTGGACGTCCCAGATCTCGGACAGCAGGGGCGGCAGCTTCTTGTCCTGGAGCCGCAGGGCGAAGACCTGCTCCGAGTGCACGGAGCTGAGCGTGCGCAGGCTCACCAGCTTCATCAGCATGCGGGGGAAGCGCAGCTGGTCCTGTGAGCGCGGCAGGGAGGGCGGCGGGTGATGGCCAGGCCACCAGGAGGGCCCCTCCCCAGGCGGAGCCAGGAGGGCCAGTGCGGGCAGAGGCCAGGCAGAGCATGGGGACCCCCGCCCCTGGGCCTGGACCAGGCGCACTCCTCGGTGAGGGGACGGGGCCAGAGCTCAGGGTGCTGCCAGGGAGGCAGACAAGCCAGGCTCAGAGCAGGAGGCGGGCCCCGGGCCCCCGGCTGACCCCACGCGGGTGCGGCGCCCCCTGGGCGGGAGGGCGGGCGGGAGGGCGGTACCTGCGGCCGCTTGATGCGCGTGTAGGAGAGCAGCGCCTCCACGTAGGGCTGCTGCAGCGCCTCCACGCGGCCGGGCTCCTGCACGTTGGGCCGGTCGGCGGAGAAGATGTTGATGGCGATGAGGAGGGCGTACTCGGCGTCGTCCAGGCCCAGCCGCCGCATGGCCCGCGAGAACTCGAAGATGGGGTTGATGAACTCCACCTGCAGGCCTGCGGGCGGGAGGTGGGGGGGGGGCTCCCGATAAACACGCCGCCCGGACCCCGCCCCCGTGCCCGGCCTGGCGCTGCCCGCGGTGAGGACGGCAGCCGCTCTGGTGCTCCTGCCCCCTCCGCTCGCCCGGGTCCCCGCTGCCCCGAGCGCCTGGCACGGGGCAGCTGTGCCACAGTCCGGCCCGAGGGAGGGAATGGGTTCTGAGAGCTGCCATTTATGCAGCAATTGCTACGCTATCACCACCTTCACTTCTTTCCGGGCAGGAAAAGGAAAGAGTTGTTTTATTTTTGTGGCGTTTTTTTTTTTTTTTTTTTTAAATTGGGTTAGTCATGTTTTTTTTTTAAATATATTATTGATTTTTTACTGAGAGGAGGAGAGAGGGATAGAGAGCTAGAAACGTCGATGAGAGAGAAACATCGAACAGCTGCTTCTTGCACATCCCCTAGCAGGGATGTGCCCGCAACCAAGGTACATGCCCTTGACCGGAATCGAACCTGGGACTTTTCAGTCCACAGACCGACGCTCTACCACTGAGCCAAACCCGTTTCGGCTTTTTTTTTAAATTAATTTTAAAGAGGAAGGAAGAAGAAGAGAGAGATAGAAACATCAATGATGAGAGAGAATCATCGAATGGCTGCCGTCCGCACGTCCCCTATTGGGGATCAAACCTGCAACCCGGGCCTGTGCCCTTGGCCGGAATCGAACCTCGGACCCTTCAGTCTGCAGGCCGAGGCTCTACCCACTGAGCCAAACTGGCCAGGGCAAGGAAAGCGTTTTAAACCCAGGTCACATTGTGTCACTCCCTGCAGTGGCTTCCCGCCCGGGCCGAAAACCGGCTTCTGGGCATGGGCCACGAAGTTTCAATCGCACTGTATGTGCGCGCCCGCACATGGCATTTTGTGGAAGAGCCACACTCAAGGGGCCGAAGAGCCGCATGTGGCTCTCAAGCCGCGGTTTGCCGGCCACCGGGCTAGGGAGACAAGTGAGGCCTGGACTGTGGCAGTGGCAGAGGATGGAGGGGGGGCCGTGGTGGGACCCCAACCTTCCTCCAGCCTTCTCTGTGCTGCAGCGGCCAAGGCTTCCTCGGAGTTCCTTAAAACTGCCCGCTGCTGTCCACCTCAGGGCCTTCGCACATGCTGACACCCTGCCCGAAACTCGCCCCCGCTGTGCCCTGCTGGCAATCTCCTACTCAGAGGGTGACCGACTGTCCTGGGGGGTGGGAGGGCCAGGAGTTAGGGGGAGGGAAGGAGGGTGAGAAGCAGACATCTGGGGGTGCAGACGGGTGCCCCGGGAGGGAGCAGGACTTCCTGAGAGAGAGGCGGTTCCCCGGGCAACGCTACTCCCACCCCTTTCCCGGGCGACGCCCCTCAGCCTCAGCCTCTCGGCCTCTCAGCCTCTCAGCCTCAGCCTCAGCCTCAGCCTCAGCCTCAGCCCCTCAGCCTCAGCCTCAGCCTCAGCCTCAGCCTCAGCCTCAGCCCCTCAGCCTCAGCCTCAGCCTCAGCCTCAGCCTCTCAGCCTCTCGGCCTCTCAGCCTCGGCCTCTCAGCCTCAGCCTCTCAGCCTCAGCCTCAGCCTCAGCCTCTCGGCCTCCGCCTCTCGGCCTCAGCTGGCCTGTGCCTCCCCCCCAGCCCACACGCCGGGTTGCGTGCTCTGGGAGGGCAGGGACCGGGTTGCCCTAAATAGCTGCGCCGGCTGCGCTTCACAATGGACCGCGAGCCGGCCGCCCCGGGGCGGGGCCGGGCTGTGGGTGGACAGACCGTCTTTCCAGCCCCACCGAGATGCCTCCCGTGAAGCAGAGACCTCGGGCCCCTCCTGCCCTGCGACCCAGCGGGCAGTCAGCAATCGTGAACGTGCTCTTACCGGACTGCGGGGGGAACTCAACCCTCACCTCACTTAAAGACGTTTTCACGGAGAGGGGAAGGAAGAGGGAGAGAGGGAAACATCGATGGGATGTTTCTGCTCGCCGCCTGCTACCGGGGATCAGGGCTGCAACCTGGGCACGTGCCCCGATTGGGAATCGAACCGGCAGCTTTTGGTGAGCCATAGGCTACCTCCACTTTAGAGATGGAAAAACGGAGGCTCAGCCGAAACCGGTGTGGCTCAGTGGACAGAGCGTTGGCCTGCGGACTGAAAGGTCCCGGGTTCGATTCCGGTCAGGGGCATGTACCTTGGTTGCAGGCACATCCCCAGTGGGGGGTGTGCAGGAGGCAGCTGATCGATGTTTCTCTCTCATCGATGTTTCTAACTCTCTATCCCTCTCCCTTCCTCTCTGTAAAGAATCAATAAAACATATTAAAAAAAAGAAAAAGAAAAAAACGGAGGCTCAGACAGGGCGAGGCCGCGCGGTCCCCAGGCCGGTCCCCGCCCCGCGCCCCCGCCCCCCGCACCTGCCCGGTGGAAGTCGTCCTTGCTGTAGGTGAAGTCCTTCAGGAAGGTGATGCACTCGGTCTCGTGGTTGTAGCGTCGGGCCGTCTCCAGCAGCATGATCTGCGGGCGGCGGGGAGGGGGCGGCAGGGGCGTGAGGAGCCTGTGACCCCGGTGGCCCCCAGCCCCCCCTCTCCTGGCCTGGAAGGGGGTTCAATCTCTCCAGGATCATCCCTCTGCCCCTCACTCCCCGTCCTCAGCCACAGCAGCCCGCAGTCAGCACGCTGAGCCCTCCCGGCCCTCTCCCTCCTCCTTCCGGCTCCCACAGCACCTTCCTCTCGGGACACTGTCCCCGGTGGTCAGCGCCCCCAGACCATGGCGATTCAGGGGAGGCCTTTGTGTTTTGTTCAATGACATGTGCCCGGCACTCGGAATGGGGCCTGGCACACACTAGGCACTCGGTCCTTATCTGCTACCATGGTTTTGGTTCAAATGCCAAGTCCTCCGAACGGCCTTTTGGGCACATTCTCCGACGTGCGTCCCTCCAGCCCCAGCCCATTTCCTTTCTCCCCGAGGCCCGTGACTACCTCTGACGACCCTGTTTACTATTTCCTCCGCCAGATACATCCCACAAAGGCAAGGACCAGGGGGGGTCTTGCTTGTCCTAGGGCCAGTGGTCGGCAAACTCGTTAGTCACCAGAGCCAAATGCCATCAGTACAATGACTGCAGTTTCTTTTGAGAGCCAAGTTTTTAAAACTTAAACTATACATGTAAGTACACTGTTATTCACTTAATTAGGGTTCTCCTAGCCGGCCTTTGGTAAAAACTCAAGGGACCAGGCCGACACCGGTGTGGCTCAGTGGATAGAGCGTCGGCCTGCGGACCGAAGGGTCCCGGGTTCGATTCCGGTGAAGGACATGTACGTTGGTTGCGGGCACATCCCCAGTAGGGGGTGTGCAGGAGGCAGCTTATCCATGATTCTTTCTCATCGATGTTTCTAACTCTCTATCCCTCTCCCTTCCTCTCTGTAAAGAATCCATAAAACATATTAATAAATAAATAAATAAAATAAAAACTCAAGGGACCAAAGAGCCCCACATGGCTCGAGAGCCGCAGTTTGCCGACCAGGGTCCCAGGGCTTATCTCGCAGGCAGGAGGGAGGGGAGGGCGGGCGGGTACCTCAATGGTAGACGCCTTTAGGAGGGCGATCTGGTCCTCTCGGCCCAGCTGCAGGAAGCCGGGCACCTGCTTGGCAAAATCCACGATCTCCTGGACTGAGATGATGGCCAGCTCCGTGAAGTGGGCAAAGCGCTGCTGGCGGGCATCGCGGGACTGGGGGTCTGCGCCCAGCGGCCAGGGCTGGGACACGGGGATGGGGAGGGGGAGGGGGGAGTTATTCTCTGGACTCTTCCCAAGAACCCAAGGCGGGGGAGTGGGGGGGGCAACTTGAGGCCAGGCCTGCACCCCGAGCTCCTCCTCTCCACGCCCCTGCCCTCTGGAGCCTCATCCCCTCCCCGCGCCAGGCCGGCGGCCGCTAGGGGGCGGTACCGTGACTTTGGGCTGGTCGGAGAAGGAGCGTTTGTTGCACTGCAGCTGGGCCGCCACCAACTGCTGGATCATCAGTTCCTGGGCTGCCGTTAGCTGGACGCCCTCGCCTTCCCCGAGGCCCTGGCCGCCCCCGTCCGACCCTCCGGGGGAGGCCCCGGGCCCCGAGGCGGAGCCGCTGCTGACGCCAGGCGTGGCCGGTGACTGTTGCTGCTGCTGCTGCTGCTGCTTCCGAATCTTCTTCCTGCGGATCTGCTCCTCGGAGAGGACGCCTGCGGGGAGACGCGGGCTCAGCGGAGGCCCCGGGGCTGGGCCGGGCCCGGGCCGGGCTGGCACGGCGCCCCCGCGGGCGGGCGGGCACTCACACTGCTCCCTCATCCCGGCCTCCTTGCACTTGCGCAGCCGGCACTGCTGGCACTTGCGGCGCATGAAGGCGTCCATCTGGCAGGTGCCCCCGCCGCGGCAGGCGTAGCGGCCGGCCCCGCCGCGGACCACGCTGCGCCGGAAGAAGCCCTTGCAGCCCTCGCAGCTGAGCACGTTGTAGTGGAAGCCGGAGGCCTTGTCCCCGCACACGCGGCACAGCTCGTGGCCCAGCATCTTGGGCGCCGGGCCCTTCTTCCGCTTGCGCTCCGGCTCCGGCTCCTCGGCGGGGTCCGGGATGACTGGGGAGGGCGGGCGGGCGGGCGGGCGGACAGAGGCCGTGAGAGTCACAAAAACAAGCCGGCCGGAGAGGCAGGCCCGCGGGAGAGCAGAGAGCCGGGGTGCCGGGGGTGACCCAGGGAGATGGCCATTCAGGGGGGAAGGTGTGTTATGGCAGGGCACCCCAAGAATGGATCAAAGTGAGAGGTGTCGAGGAGCAGCAGCAGCAGAAAAAGTATCAACAAGAAATCGGAGCCCCAGCCGTAGCTGGTTTGGCTCAGTGGTTAGAGCACCGGCCTGCGGACTGAAGGGTCCCAGGTTCGATTCCGGTCAAGGGCATGTACCTTGGTTAAGGGCACATCCACAGTGGGGGGTATGGGGGGGTGCAGGAGGCAGCTGATGGATGTTTCTCTCTCATGGATGTTTCTAACTCTCTAGCCCTCCCCCCCACCTCTCTGTAAAAAATCAATAAAGTATATATATATTTATATATATATATATATATATATATATATATATATATATATATATTTTTTTTTTTTTTTTTTTTAAAGAAAAGAGCCGAAACCGGTTTGGCTCAATGGATAGAGCGTCGGCTTGGGGACTGAAGGGTCCCGGGTTCGATTCCGGTCAAGGGCATGTACCTTGGTTGCGGGCACATCCCCCGTAGGAGGTGTGCAGGAGGCACTTGATCGATGACTCTCTCTCATCGATGTTTCTAACTCTCTATCTCTCTCCCTTCCTCTCTGTACAAAATCAATAAAATATATTTTAAAAAAATAATAAAATAAAAAAAGAGAAGAAATCGGAGCCTCCTGTCCTCATGTCTGATCTCTCTCTCTCTTCCCGGATCCCTCCGCCTGCCTCCCATACCAACCCCCAGCCGGTGTCTGGGCCCCATGCTCACCCACGCTGCAGGCTGAGCCGACCCCATCGCTGCCCGGGACATCAGGGTCCGGGCCCCCGGGCCACGGCTCAGGACGCTCCTCCTTCACAACGGGCTTAGTAGAGGGGGCGCTGGGCGGAGGGGGCACATTCCCTGAGGGAGGGAGGTGCGGTGAGTGTCTCCTGGCAGGACTGTGACGGGGCAATGGGCCGGGCCGGGCTGGGCTAGGCTGGGGCTCACTCACCAGGCAAGGGGGTATCCTGGGAACTCGAGGTAGGGGTGGACATGGTGGGGTCACGGAGCAGCCTGCAAAATACAGGGGCCGGGAGCCTTGTGGGCCTGGGGAGTTCAGCCACAGGTTTTGGGGGGAGCACCTTTCTTCCAGCGTCCCCCCAAATTCCTCCCTCACGGCCTACAGAACCCAACCCCAGTCCCCCAATTCTAACAGAGCCCGCCCCTTCTGCTGCGGACAGCCTCAGGCTGGGCCTCCAGCCACATCCTCAGCTAGACCCTGCCCACAGGCTCCGTCCACTCCAGGCCACGCCCACCCGCTCAGTCCAGGTGCTGTCCCTTCTGCCCACTAAGTTTCATCCCACCTTCTCTTATGCCTTCCCCCGCTCTCTGCGGAGGAAGAAAACCCATCTCTAGACGAAACCGGTTTGGCTCAGTGGATAGAGCTTCGGCCTGCGGACTGAAAGGTCCCAGGTTCGATTCCCGTGCAGGGCATGTACCTTGGTTGTGGGCACCTCCCCAGTAGGAGGTGTGCAGGAGGCGGCTGATTGATATCTCTCCCTCATTGATGTTTCTAACTCTCTACCCCTCTCCCTTCCTCTTTGTAAAAAATTAATAAAATATTTTTTTTTTTTTTAAAAAGAAAGAGCCAAAACCGGTTTGGCTCAGTGGATAGAGCGTCTGCCCGCGGACTGAAAGGTCCCAGGTTCGATTACAGGCACATCCCCAGTGGGAGGTGTGCAGGAGGCGGCTGATGGATGTTTCTCTTGTATCAATGTTTCTAACTCTCCATCCCTCTCCCTTCCTCTCTGTAAAAAAATCAATAAAATATATTTTAAAAAATAAAAATAAAGAAAAGAAAAAAAAAATCTCTCAGTCCATCCCCACCTCCTCCTCTTATGCTCCGCCCCCATCCTGTCCACCCTCCAGGTTCCACCCTCACTCCTCCCATAAAGTGGCTGCGGATCCCTGAGCCCCCCAAATCCCGACCCCTCCCCTCCCACTAAGCCCCGCCCCGCCCCTCAGGCTCCGCCCCCACACCTCTCTCCAGGTCCCGCCCCTCTCCAAACACCAGTGGGGGGCGGGGCTCATGGCTGCGCGCGAGGGTCTCGTGGGCGGTCTCTCGCGGGGTCTCTGCTCCGGTTGCCCTGGAAACAGCCGGGGGCGACGCGAGCTGCGGAAAGGCGGGGGGAGGAGAGAGGGGCTGAGCGGGGAGGCGCGGGGGACTCCGGGAGGCCCCGGGCTCGGGGCGCCCCCCGCACCTCCCCGCACTCGGTGCACCTGCGCCTGTCCCCCCGCTTACTCTGCTTCTCCTTCTCCTCGTCCGTGTCCCCTGAAGGCCACCGCCGCTCCGGGCTTCTCAAAAGTAACTTCGCCACTTCTTCCGGCAACCCCACTGTGTGTCACTTCCGGCAGGGGAGGGGAGTCGGGGATGACGGACTTCCGGCCCGCCTGGAGCTAGCCAAGTCAGGAGCCCCGCGGGGCAGTCGTGCACCCTTTGGAAGCTGACCCTCCGGGCAGGTCCGCCGGAGGCGAAAGCGTTCCGGACTCACTGGGTCAGACGTGGCCAGCGCCAACCTTCCCCGCCAGGCGCGGGTGTTCCTCTGGCTCCTCGGCTTATAGCTCCCCAAATACAACTCCTTTTCGCACAGGACGGTGTTAAAGCACGTGTGTCCCTTTTTGGTGGTTATAAGTATTCTCATTTTGGAGATGCTCTGATTGTTACTCTATTTTTAAAATATATTTTATTGATTTTTTTACAGAGAGAAAGGGAGAGGGATAGAGAGAAACATGGATGAGAGAGAATCATAGGTCAGCTGCCTCCTGCACACCCCCTATTGGGGATGTGCCCACAACCAAAGTACATGCCCTTGAGGGAATCGAACCTGGGACCTTTCAGTCCGTAGACCGATGTTCTACCACTGAGCCAAACCGATTTCGGCTGATTATTAGTTTTACATAAGTTAAATTACAAATCTTGACCCAGAACAAAAACATTTAGAAATATATATATATTTTATAGATTTCTTACAGAGAGCAAGGGAGAGAGATAAAGAGTTAGAAACATGGATGAGAGAGAAACATCGTCCAGCTGCCTCCTGCACACCCCCTATTGGGAATGTGCCCGCAACCAAGGTATTCGATACATGCCCTTGACCGGAATTGAACCTGGGAACTTTCAGTCCGCAGGCCGATGCTCTATCTATCGAGCCAAACCGGTTTCGGCTAAAATCATTTTTTAAGTAGCTTAGTGATAGAAGTAAAATACTATAGCCTTCTCCTAGTAAAAAAGATACAACTAATATCTTTTAAAGAAGACTCAGAATATTTGAACAGGTAAGAGATGGAAGTTGTTCCAAAGTCTTCCCCCCCCCATGACAATCAGTTCTATATTGCGCAAGTATACATTTTTTTTTAATGGAAGTGTCTTGACTGATGATTTTTGTAGCTTGTTTGGTCCATCTGGCATGGCCTCGAAGCTGTGAAGTCTTTCATCTGAGAATGTTACCATTAAAATGAGTGGTTAAACCCAGCTGGTGTGGCTCAGTGGTTGAACATGGAGCTATGAACCAGGAAATCAGGGTTCGAGTCCAATCAGGCCACATGCCAGATTGCCAGATGGATCCCCTGTGGGGGGCATGCAGGAGGCAGCCAATCAATGATTCTCTCTCATCGTTGTTTCTATCTCTCCCTCTCTAAACTCAATAATAAAAAATAAAATTTTTAGCCGAAACCGGTTTGGCTCAGTGGTAGAGCGTCAGTCTGTGGACTGAAAGGTCCCGGGTTCGATTCCGGTCAGGGGCATGTACATTGGTTGCGGGCACATCCCCGGGTGGGGGTGTGTGCAAGAGGCAGCTGGTCGATGTTTCTCTCTCATCGACATTTCTAGCTCTCTATCTCTCTCTCTTCCTCTCTGTAAAAAATCAATAAAATATATTAAAAATAAATAAAATTAAAATTTTAAAACACACACACACAAAAAGGTGGTTAAAGGGGGATGGCTGAACCAATGCCTTCTTTCTCCCGGTGTAATGTTAAGCCAAGCTGTTTGCCCTCTTTGTGCCTCTGTTTCTTCATCTGTAAATTGGGAACGAGACCTCATTGCATTGTCATGATGACTCAGTGAAGTAACACGCAGGAACTGGGCCGGGCTCCAATCAGGAGCCCGGTATGATGGAGCTATCCCTGGAATAGACTGGAGGGGAATTGCCACAGTTTTGGTTTGTTGTTGTTTTTGACATTCAAAATGAAGACAACTTTATTGCAAAATTTAGGACAAAATAGACTCCACAGAACAACAGGAATAAGACAATCCCAAGACAGAATTGCAACAGTTTTGGAGCAAATCACATTCCTCTCAGTCTCCGGGGAAATTATTTGTATTTCTTTTTTTTAAAAAAATATATTTTATTGATTTTTCACAGAGAGGAAGAGATAGGGATAGAGAGTTAGAAACATCGACGAGAGAGAAACATCGATCAGCTGCCCCCTGCACCCTCTGCTGGGGATGTGCCCGCAACCAATGTACATGCCCTTGACCAGAATCGAACCTGGGACGTTTCAGTCCGACGCTCTACCCACTGAGCCAAACCGGTTTTAGCTGTATTTCTTTTTGAGGCAGGATAGCAAGAAGCTAGGGAAATTCCGTGGCAAGTGGGATGAGGAAACTGAGACAGACAGCTGAACAAGCTGGTGGAACAAATTACAGCCAGAAACAGGTGACCAGGGCCAGAAGCCTTGGGTGCCTAGCAATGGGCAAAACTGGTGCTGAACCCGGCCCCAGGGGGGCCTCTCCTCCCCTGACACATCCTTTGCCAGGCAGTTTTGTTGTTGTTTTTGTTTTTTAATATATTTTATTGATTTTTGACAGAGAGGAAGAGAGAGGGATAGAGAGTTAGAAACATCGATGAGAGAGAATCATCGATCAGCTGCCTTTTGAACACCCCTTACTGGGGATGTGCCCGCAACCAAGGTACATGCCCTTGACTGGAATCGAACCCGGAACCCTTCAGTCCACAGGCTGACGCTCTATCCACTGAGCCAAACCGGTTTCGGCTTGGCCGTGCAGTTTTGACCCCCCTGAGCTTTTCTCCCTGGAGATAACATCTAGGCCTCAGTTGTATCTCAGCTCCAAGCCCCTGAAAAGCAAAAAGCAGCAAAACCAGGCCAGCAGCACCAAGACCAGCCAGGTACTAATCACCCCTGACACTGACCCATCAGCGGAGACCGTGACCCTGAAACAATGCAGCTGGAGTCCTAGCCGGGCAGATAGAGCATTAGCCTGCGGAATGAAGAGCCCCAGGTTCTGTCCCGCTCAGGGGCATGTGTCTGGGTTGCAGGCTCAGTCCCCAGTGGTGGGGGGCAGGAGGCAGCTGATCAATGATCCTCTCTCATCATCGATGTTTTTTTATCTCTCTCTCCCTCTCCTTTCCTCTCTGAAATCAATAAAATAAATAAATAAACATATAGCCCTAACCTCTTTGATGTTTCTCTTTTTTTTAAAATATATATTTTATTGATTTTTTACAGAGAGGAAAGGAGAGGGAGAGAGAGCTAGAAACATCGATGAGAGAGATACAGTGACCAGCTGCCTCCTGCACAACCCCTACCGTGGGTGTGCCCGCAACCAAGGTACATGCCCTTCACTGAAATCGAACCTGGGACCTTTCAGTCCGCAGACCGACGCTTTATCCACTGAGCCACACCAGCTTCGGCTGTTTCTAACTCTTTATCCCTCTCTCGTCCTCTCTATAAAAAAAAATCAATAAAATATATATTTTTAAATGTACAGAATAATCCCTCTTTTACAAGGTTTCTGGGCCATTAAATAAAATAGTGGATTGAAAAATGTAGTAATTCCGCTGGGACCGGTTTGGCTCAATGGATAGAGCGTCGGCTTGGGGACTGAAGGGCCCCGGGTTCGATTCTGGTCAAGGGCATGTACCTTGGTTGCGGGCACATCCCCGGTAGCGGGTGTGCAAGAGGCAGCTGATTGATAACTCTCTCTCATTGATGTATCTAACTCTCTATCTCTCTCCCTTCCTCTCTGTATAAA